GGGCTAAAATAGTTTTCCGACCAAAGTGTCCAGGATTAGATGGTACTCCGACCAAAGTGTCCGGGGTGAAATGGTATTCCGACCAAAGTGTCCGGGGCAAAATGGTTCTCCGACCAAAGTGCCCGGGCTAAAATAATTTTGCGACCAAAGTGTCCGGGATAAGATGGTACTCCGATCAAAGAGTCCGGGCGGCAAAACGTAGTCTGACCAAAGTGTCCGGGATCAAATAGTACTCCGACCAAATTGTCCAGGCTGAAATAGTTCTCCGACCAAAGTGTCCGGGCTAAAAAAGATTTCTGACCAAAGTGTCCGGGATAAGATGGTACTCCGACCAAAGTGTCCGGGCTGAAATTGTATTCCGACCAAAGTGTCCGGGGAAAATGGTTCTCCGACCAAAGTGTCCGGGCTTTAAATAATTTTGCGACCAAAGTGTCCGGGATAAGATGGTACTCCGACCAAAGTGTCCGGGCAGCAAAACGTAGTCCGAACAAAGTTTCCAGGATGAAATAGTACTCCGACCAAATTGTCCAGGCTAAAATGGTACTCCGACCAAAGTGTCCGGGCGGCAAAACGCAATCCGACCCAAGTGTCCGGGCTGAAATTGTACGCCGACCAAATTGTCCGGGCTAAAATAGTTTTCCGACTAAAGTGTCTGGGATAAGACGGTACTTCGATCAAATTGTCTGGGCTGAAATGATACTCCGACCAAAGTGTCCGGGCTAAAGTGGTTTTTCGACCAAATTGTCCAGGCTGAAATAGTACTCCGACCAAAGTGTCCGTGCCAAAGTGGTTCACCGACCAAAGTGTTTGGGTTAAAATGGTACTGACAAATGTGTCCGGGATAAAAAAGCTCTAAGGAGCTTCAGTTCCCACCAAGAACGCAAAATATTTTGGGTGGGCAGAATTTACGGCGGACGTTTTTTTGGCCCCCGGACGGTTTGGTCGGTTTAGCGGCCAAAACGTCCGCCGGACGTCTTAGTCGTCCGGACGTTTTGGTCGGTTACAGACGCTCGAATATGCTACTCTCGCTTTCTCTAGAGCAACATTTACGAATATTTGGGGCGTGGATACAAACGTGCAAAAGACACCTCATCGCAATAAGGACCAGTTATGAGCGCGTATCATTCTTACCTCGTGCGTTACTCAGCTTTTGCAGAATTCCCACAATTGCCAGGATTTACTAAATTTCTGGTCTATTTTGAACCGGAGTAATGAATTGAAACGTCGCTGTCTTTTCGGCAAAACACAAGAAAAGAGCCAAGAACTAGGAAAAAATCGACACACCAATCTACCCAGCTCACCCGCTTTCGATGCAAATTTTGTAAGCCAACAGTATCCGTATTTACAGTAACTTTCTTTTTGATCGAAAAAAGATCACTCATGCGAACGACAAATGTGGATTCCCCGATCTTCTTGGTTGTCTTCGCATCTAATTACTCGAGTGACTGTCCGAGGGTTGTAGGGCGATCTTTAGTCGCGAAAAACAACCATGTTTGAGGGATATTCGGGCACGGAAAACGCGTTCTTATTCCAGGTCTTATACAACCACACCGCTTCACTCTACTTCCATCGATACGAGATGGGTATAATTCCGAAGTCCTGTTGCAGTATGCCGAAGTGTCTTACGCCGAAATGCCCGGATGCCGAAATGGTCTGACACGGAATGTGCATTGTAGAGCGTATTCGAACCTGGACTGTATAAATGCTGTTAAGTGCAGTTACTTACTACCAGCAGTTCCAGGCACTATTTCCGTCTCCAAATTCAAAAAAATTTCGTATTTTGTGAAAACGTAGTATACTGCCGTGGTATGATTGAAAATATTTTCGTCTGCAAAGGTCAAATGGGCGTCGCCAAACAGAAATTTAATGAGTACAGAGTACACATACTATTAGAATGTAGTATTAAATGTTAATTGCATTTTCTGCCGCAGCGTCGTTTTTACTGGCACTGCACGTCCCGTGGATCCTTCCAGATGCCAGTCGAGCACCAACGTACCTACTACGGCGCGTGCGCTGACTTTTGCAGCAAAATTAGGAAACTTCAAAAATTTAATAACTTCGCTAATTTTTAAGCTGCTTCATGCATGGATGTCCATATGCTCGGGAATTACGTATTAGGAAGTATTTATGTAAAATTTTAAAAATGCATGATGCAGTACTTGCCAGGCAAGATTGGACTACCGGAAGCGTTTGTGGAGTTATGTCGGTGCTTGACACCTGGAAGGGTCCACCGTCGCAAAATTAATGTGAATGTTAAGGTATTTAAATATCAGTGCTGCATAATAATAGTACTTCTATGCAATACTATGTAATCATTTAATTTATGTTAGACCACGCCCAACTGATCTTTGCAGATAAAAATATTTTTTTAAACAAACCACGGTAGTCTACTACCTTTGTACAAAAACTGAAATTTTTTTTGGAACTGGAGGCGGAAATGGTGCCGGGTTTAGTTTCCCTACAGTTTTACAGTACAGTAGAAATACAGTACATACAGTACAGTAAAAGTTCGGACATCCAGCAAAATTAATGCGACTTATGTGAGAGGTAACATAAATTTGCTGCTTAATAATGCAACACCGTATGATTTCCGTTTCGAGTACTCGGAAGCATACTAGTAAACCCCGCGCAAACTGGTCTAGAGCTCACTTGGGCTGGATGGGTGGGTCTACTACCGTAAGTTACTAGCAAATAGCAATCCGGAAGAAATTTTGTGCACGTCAAAAATCGAAGAAATCGATCGACTGTTGGTGTGTGTGTGGTGTGTGTGGCTGTGGGTGGGAGAAGAGATTGAATGCCAGAGAGACAAACGTACAGACAGACAGAGAGAGGAGGCAGTTTAAGGCAGGAACGTCATGTGGAGAAACTAATCCGGTCGATGAAAATTTTCCAGTGCGTTGTAGCATAACAGCCGATTGTAGTTGGCATTGGTTAACGATCATGATAACTAGAATATCGCCCAGCGCTGTTTTATCGAATACTTAACTCGGTAGCTGCAACGCGTTTCTGGCCGGGCAAATAGATTGTTCAGCAATTGAGTTTATAATAATACCGGGGTATAAAGGCTCTCTCACACTGGCCGTGTGCTGAATTTGTAGGACTTGTACATTGTTTATTTCCGACTCCGGAACGGGAACCATGGCCGAAATGGACACTCCTTACCGTTTAGACTTTTGTGTGAGGGTTTATAAAAGCCTGTGTGCGGAAAGATTTTGCGAATCAAACGCGCTGTGGTCACCAGTCTGTGCGGAACTCGCCGTTCTTGTGGCTTACATTGGTGCAAAGGGGGAGACGCGGCAGCAAATAGCTGACTTATTGGGACTTCGCGACGACTATACCCTGGATGACTTCCACGCTTTGCTGACGGAACTGAAAATGAACGATGACCAAAAGCACGGGCTCCTCCAATGTATGTGCCGGATCTTGTAGCTTATTACTGTTACTGACAACAACGTCCTCAAATATGTATGTCATATTACTATAGTCTTTAAGGATGTTCCGAATATTATACGGATCACAGGAACAGACTTGGAGTTCGCACGAAATGCTGAATGTCCCGCATGCTCATTATCGTTCAAGTAAAGAATACAGTCATTTATTTCTACCGTTAAAAAAGTGCGATGAAAAATGCGATTGTGCTATGCGCCCAAAATTTTTGGGCGCACAGTTAATTTCAAAGAGCCCCAAAAATTACAGTTGAAATTTTCTTATTTCAATATTTACTTTTTTTTAATACTTCTCTATTAATACGAAATCAAATTCTGCCGCCGCAATCTGTTGGATTTTTCTCATTATTTTTGAGTGGTCCGCAAAATGTGATGCATTTTTTCGCATTCGGTGTAACACTTTGTACTAAAACAGCGGTGTGTACACAATTGATTTTTGTTAGATTTATCATTTACCAAGCTAAAACTGGTACATTTCGCATTCACGTTGTTAAAGGCGTACCGTTTAACTGAATTTTAACCGGTGCATTGCATTTAACGCCGATTGCATCGTTTTTTCGCAGTTTTCATTATTGATGGTTGGCCAGGATTATTTTTTCCGTGGTTTGTTTTGGTCGCGCTTTCGCGGCGGCTGTTGGTGATTCTCCAACTATGTAGCTAGCTGTATCGGTACCGGCCCATGAGGCATATACAAAATGACGCAGCGGCAGCTCACCCTTTCAAAATAAAATTTGATTATAAATTTCTGCTACCTGTCTCCGGGGTATCACGATATTAGGTGTGCAATAGAGAAGGGGATTTAATACAGTAAGTGCTGTACTTTTCAGAATAATAATTATTAGTAACAGAGAAAAGTGGACTTATCTTTGCGCTATCAAAATGATTTCCTCTTGTAGTTTACCTTTCCGTATGATATAATGCTGCTTCGGATACTTTAGGTGTCTGGCTAGTTATTTGAAACAAAATCCGCCCGGTTGTTTATTTATTTCTTGAGCGGTAGATGTGTGTTATTAAGATTTCCGTTTTGGACACAAAGGCATCCGTGTATAGCTTATTTAGCTCTTTCTTTCTTCAATTGCTCAGAGAATAATTTATGCAAAAAAAATATCGGTGATTTATTACGTCAAACAGGCAAAATAGGGAAACTCCTGGTATGTCCTTTGTTCTTCTCGTTTTCCTGATTTTATTATTTCTTCTTATTCCTTATGCCTGCTCATGTTTCAGTCGTATGTTTTCGATAATGTTATTTCTTATAAAATGGGTGAGAAAACATCACAAATTTTATGATAACGTATAAAACAGATGCATTTGTGGGTTTGTACGTTATATCATAAATAAAAAAGGCTCAACATCGGGAAATATTATAGACGACCACTCCGTACACAGCCTTTCACCCCCTTTCACTCCGTGCACAACCTTTTTGCGCACTACCTTTCATTCCGTGCACAACCTTTGACACGACCATTCACATCGGTACACTACCAATCCACGCTACCTTTCACTGTGTCCGCATTTTATTTCAAACCATCACTTAAACACGTGTTAGAGAAACAGTTACAAAAACAACAGCTCGTTAAACATTTCGGCTTTCTCCACCGTGCCCAAAACAGAAACCGCATTACCACGCTGTATCTCTATGGACAAACGTTGTCGAAGAAATACGTGCGAGCGGGCTTCTCCTGAATGAGAACGTAATCTTTTCCCCAGTTCTTTTATGATGGCAATGGCCGCTGGTCCCCACGGGCCCATAGTTTCAAAAGCGATAGGTGTGAATATATAGCGGCCGTTTAAATAAGAATAGAACCTAGACTTCTTCTCTTCAGCCTGCAACGCGGCCGATCCCGCAATTGCCGAAGTAGATTTGATGTGGGAAGCGGCAACAGTATCCACGCAGGTGACATCCCATGCCAAGCACATTCCTCGCTGCCAGGCGAACGTTGTGCAGCCATCGGGGCGTCGTTCGTTGGTGTGGGAAGTGCCTCGGGGTTCAAGTTTAGCTGGGATTCCGGCTGATACAAAAGCCCGACATACGATACTGTTAAGGCCACCATGTCTTGGGTGTCTGCCGGCGGAGAAGGTACAGGAAAGACCATGATGAGCGTATCCGTCGACCGGCTTTAAACATTTCGTGCAGTTGTGAGGTTCACAAATCCTGGCGCCGAGTCTAAGGCCTACTGAGATTTTCAGAGTATCGTCATCGAGGAGGTTACCTATATGGGCGGAAGGCAACGCGTTGAGCCAAATGCCGGCTTCTGGTCTCGACTGGGCAAGCAGACGCGCCTTATTAATTTCATCATCCCGGTATACTTCTAGCAGGGCAGCCAGAGATACATTACACAATGGCAAATCCCATGCCTTCTGGGAATTGCGGAATTCTGGAACGGGCAGTTCTGTTAAACGGGCTTTGCCTTCCACATTTCTAGAGCAACGGTAATGTCTGAAGTCTCTCGACTGGGAAGCAACAAAGACACCAGGTCGCCGACGGAGTGAATCGAAGCCAGGAAGGCTGGGAGTGCTAATTCCTCCGATCGACGTAGACCAATGCCTCCTCTGCTAACCGGGAGACTTGCTTGCCGCCAACTGGGATAATCATCGTGATTTGTCCGGACATTACATAGAAGCTGGAAACAAGACCGCAATACTTCATCGATTTGGTACAATTGCTCAGGATATTTCCAGGCGTTGCAACACCGCAACATGTAAATGATTTTCGGTGCTCCGAGACAGTGCCTTAAAAGGAATAAGGCGTGGTGACGGGGAAGCAATTTCATTCTTTCGCATACCGCGGTCAGCGACTTCGCTTTCTCGGCAAATACAGGGGCAATCGCGTCGTCCAGCACAGGGGCTCCTAGAAGCGTTAAATTAGTGCTGCACATGACGCGGATTCCCGGATGCCTTGAAAGAAAATTGGTAATTGCCTCTTGCTGTGTAATCTCAGAACCGCCTGCAACGTATAATTCGCACTTTCCGACGTTAATTTCCAGGCCAGTCGCCCGTGCTCTTTCGATGACGCGGTCAAAATTCTCAAGTACACTACTAGGAAGCCCGCCCAACGTCCCATCGTCAAGGTACCAAGCGTTTAGCTCGGTATCCAGGGAGGCAATAACTGATTGCAATGCGAGGCAAAATAGTAGCGGTCCCAATGGATCCCCCTGCTGTACACCGGATTCGGATGATAGAACGTGGTCGTCGATGAACAGTGACGAATGGTGTCCATAAGCTGACTGAAAAAAGACGAAGTATTCCGGGAAGTACGACCGCACGGCACTCAGCACTACTTCACGCGAGACCGTATTGAACGCATTTCGGAAATCCACTTTTACGATGGCTTTCGTGATTTCCGGATTACCGCTGAGGAAGTGTCTGGTACCGTGAACAATGGCTTCAGCTCCGCCACGCACATTGAAGCCGAGTTGTGTCGGGGAAAGGACAGCGACTGCCCGATCTGCGACTTTGCTGCAAATGATCTTGGCAATGACACGGCGCAGTGTCATTCCGACCGCGATGGGGCGTAGGCCGCCGTCTTTTTTCCGCAAGGCTAACAGCTTTCCACCGAAAAAAGCAGGACGGATGTCATCTGGCACTTTACCGTTCAAGGCAAGATTGAGGACGGCTGCCAAGGATTCGCAAAACGGTCCACTTTGATCGTCCATTTTTCCTCCTAGAATGTCGATTAGGTGCTGGGGACGCAGCCCATCTGGCCCAGCAGCAGATCCTCGAGGAAAGCTGCGAATAGCTGCAAATACATCTGCGGCGGTTACTGGGGGCGCTGCGGGTGTATCAGCATTGGTGAGCGTCACAGGTGGAGGCGCACATACGGGATGCTTCGTTCTAAGTTCCTTTAGGGTATCGCAAGTGGTGTCAGCAGCAGAGTCTGTGGACAATACAATACGCATCGCCCCAGAAACGGAACCGTCGTCGATCTTTTCGCCGACTCGACGAACAATATCTTCGTCAGTGGTTCGTTTCCTCCTGGCTTTAGTGGGCTGCGTTGCAGGAATCTCGATGTCGCGGTCAAACAAATCCAGGTTCTTTTTCACTGCGGTGGCCAACGTGCTGGTGCGCTCTGATTTCGTCTTGGCGGGGAGTCGGAGCGCTGCACTGCGCGTTCACTTGGTGCACTACCAAACTTTTATATACATTTATATTATTACATACATTATATGTATTTAAATACTTGTAATCTATATTATGGCTGTTATGTTCGTGCCTGTTTAATGGCACTTACGGAATTCCGTGCCGGCATATCATTGCAGCACGTAAAAAGTCCGGCAAGCCATCGTTGGACGCAGAAGATTTCTTGGCGCGTTGGGTAGAAGAAAAATTCACAGACAGAAATGGTAATGAAAGGGCCAGTTCAGTATTTGAAAGAAGTAGCATCCATTGATGAAGACGATGACGATGACGATGTCAACGCCGCATCAAGACACAAACGATGGGCAGATGCAAGAAAAATCTCGAAAGATATCGAGAACGGGTTAGCTGACCTAGAACCACAGAGAGAATTTCCCGATTTTTGGAGCAGTATGAAAAATTTCGAGATGACTTTGTTGACAAAATGCTAAACGATGAAGGGAGGGTTGCCGAAGCTGGTGATTTATTGCCGAAACAAAGCGAAACACACCTCGTACTGGTGTGGTTCGCTTAGTATGCAGCAATAACTGCTGTTAACGAAAAAGCGGCAGTTCCAGAAATAACTCTCCTGTGGAAAAATTGAAAAAATAAAAGGTTGTGCACGGAATGAAAGGTAGTGCCGAATGGTTGTGTACGGAGTAAAAGGTAGTGCTCAAAAAGGTTGTGCACGGAATTTGAAAGGGAGTGCACAAGGTTGTGTACAGAGTGAAATGGTGTGAAAGGCAGTGTACGGATAACGCAAGAATAACATCTGAGGGGCAGAGGAATATGAAATTAGCATAGCAAAAGAATTAAAATAAAAAAAAACTGAAATAGGGTAGGAATAGCATAAGAAAAACAATCAGAAGAAACAAAACCTTGAAGAACATAAAAAAGTTCACAAAAATTCTGAGACCCAATAATAAGGACTAAAATTAGTGCAGCTTACTTTTATGGGTTTCGCATAAAAAAAATTCAACGAAAATTTTAGTAAAGCAGGCAACATTCCTTTCGATGACAGGGCGTAAACTATAGCACGAGACGTGACGAAGATTATCCCTTCAAATCCATCAGTCCCAGATCCTATTGAGGCCGAAATTAGTTGCAGCCTTTCCGGATTTCTGGTAGACACAATAAAGGATCTCTGCATGGAAATCTTGAAGTCTTGAACTTGATTCTATGCGATTTAGGTCTGTCCTCATCTATATGAAACAGAAATGGCTCACTAGAACTTAATATACCTAGTCGCTCTAAATTTGTACTCTTTGTTTAAAAACCTTAATGGGTCTTTTCTGCATCGTTTAAGTAACTATCGTTAAAGTTTAGGTATTTGATTGGGCCTTGCAGGAAGTGAGGAAAAATGGTAGGGTAGTACATGGAATGAAAGTTGTTGTACGGATTAAAGCCTAAAAGAGCCATTTTCTGACGGCTATCTTCCTGGCCGAAACCTTGCTGACGACTTGCCAAATGACGAAAAATTAATATTGACCCGACACTTTATTGAAACGGTAACTTGATGATCGACAAACTGTTAAACGACAGCTTGCTGATCCCCGACATTTTGCTGACGACAGTCTGCTGACTTTATAAGAATAAGGAAACATCAGAAACATAAGAAAAACATAAGGAAGCATAAAAGTAATCTGAAAGAAGATAAGAAAGCAAAAGAAAAAGTAGGAAAACATAAAGTAACAAAAGGAATTATAAAAACACAGAAAGACAACCTACAACAGGAGCAAACCAGGACAAACTGAAAACCTAAGAACCCAAGGCAAATTAAGAAACCACAGTGAACCTTTCTTCTCTGCATATTGTGAAATATTGCTTAAACAATTCTTTCCACATTAACGAGACGTCAGCATTTGAAATTAGCAGCGGCAGGTTTAAGCATTTGACAGATTTTACAAATTCGAGTTAACGTTGCCATCTCTGGATGGCTGACAGCGCAGCAAAATTGTCACAGTTATCAAAGTATGATAAGGTAAATTCGCTCTTTCTAAATAAAGGACACGCGTCCCGCGCTCCAGCTTAATTTTGCTTACACCTTGTTATTGGAAGAGACATTTCCAGCGTTACCCAAGTTTTCTTAAACTTTCTTCTTTAAGGGATTATATTGTTGTTGCTCATATTTTGTCAAACTTTGGTGCTTTGCAGCTGGGGTCCGGAACTATAAACTCTTCCTGGCCACAGCCGGATACGTTGACGAAGATTATCCCCTCAAAACCAACTTCACCGACACTCTCAGCACTTTGTTCCACACCGTGTGCCATCCTGCGCGCTTCCGCACCGAGCCCAGTGAAGCCGTGCAGCGTATAAACAAATTTGTGGAGGAATCTACTTCCGGTACAATCCGCGATATCCTGGCTCTTTCGGATATAACGCCCGTTACCGTGTTTATATTGATCAGCGCGGTGTATTTCCAAGCGGAATGGAACTGTGTATTTCCCGAGCAGGACACCGTCAAGAAGCCCTTCACCCTGGCCGACGGCAGCACCGTAATGGTGGACACCATGCACGTGTTGACGAAGTGCCAGTATTATGAAAGTAAGGAATTAGGCGGAGCGCGATTCCTGCAGTTGTGGTACGGCGACCAGCGCTCCAGCGCTTGCTTCATTCTGCCGGGAAAGAGCGACGGATCGCCCACGTGGACACCGGGTTCCGCATTGTCGGGTCTCCAGCAGGCCTTGACGCCGAAGATGCTGGAAAAGGCGCTGGACTCGCTGCAGCCCATCACGTACGGGCCGGTACGGCACAATCCAGTTGCCTAAGTTCTCCATAGAGCAGAGCATCGACCTGGAGAGCACGCTGCAGGATCTGGGGATGCGGTCGGCTTTCACAACCACTGCCGACTTCTCCGGCATAACGTCGGTACCCATCTACATAGACAAGATTAAGCAAAAGGTGTACATTGGTAAGCATGATACCACCAATAAAGTTGGTCAGCCTGTCGCCAGTAATACAACTGGGCAAACTTACAAACACAAAATCGACGCGCGACTTTACGCCGAAAGACATTTCACATAGAGACGGTTGGAGAGCTTGCTTTGAGACATTTCACCTTTGCGACCTTTTCACACAGGACATCTGCTTGCAAACATTTTGTCATGAGACTTTTGTCGCTTTTTAAAATCAATTCGCGAGTAAATTAATTCGACGCACTTTTCTCTTTTCACAGGTTTTTTTAATTTTCCAGGATTTTCCTTGTTTTTTCTTAGGTTGTCTTTAAGATTCTTAGCTCGTGTAAGGTTTTCTTGCCTTTCTCACATTCTTAAGTTTTCTTAGGTTATTTTTTGGTGTTCATTTAAATTTGTAGTTTTTGTTGACTATTATTCTTTGAAGACAAAATTAATCGTTGTAACAGCTAACAAGTAATATCGAATAGCGTATGAAAAATTCCTGGGATTTTCTGCTACGATGAATCGTACCGCTGCAAGTTCATTCTTGCACGTGAATGCACCCTAGGACACAAATTCAGCACTAAAACTTTAGATCGATGTTTACAAGATACAGTGAAACTCTAACATACACCCTTATATGACATTCACCCCATGATTATGTGCATGCGGCTAAGAAGCGGACTGTCCGGTAGTGTTGACTGTAACATCGGGGCAGTTCTCTGTGCAACGTTCACCACTGTAACGTACATCTATCTTGGGAGTATTAACATTAAAACAGTGAATTTAACCTGGAGATGGCAGCGGCTACACCCCTCTGTGGCGTTCAGAAAGTCAGGAACGGAGGTTGTACGTAGTAGAGAAGCTTCATTTTATATCCATTAGGCATCAGGCGTTGATGTACCCGCGGTCTTCCGAGTGCCGCTGTGCAGAACGTAAGATTGGCGAAAGTATGACAGCCGGCATACCAATGGATCAGTTTCACCTTTAGGCTTTACATCACCCCACGTTTTGCGTACTTCGCCCATCACGTGCAGTGATGTAATGACAACAGCTTGCATGTACATTTGAACAAAGGCTCGAACGGGCCATGTATTCCTGTGTTTGTCTCAGAACCAACTTCAACCGTCTCCCAAGCAGCTACTTGACGTGCAGACTGACGATATTAAGGCTGACTTTAAGCCTACAAGAATACAGAGTAGATGTTGCACAATATACCGCTTCACTTATCGCCGTTATCGGCGTCTCGTTTTGTTTTTGTCATCATAAATGGTTCGTCCTTCGATTCATTATCTGGCACGCCCAAACACTTTCACTATCACAGATGTTTATTATGTTTATTTAGATGTCAACGAGAGAGGAACGGTCGCATCCGCAGCAACCGCGGAAAGATTTGTACTCTGTCGCGCGCCACGCGAGACCAGAGTCGAATTTGCCGCCGACCGACCCTTTATTTTCCTGCTGCGGCACGAGAGAACTGGCAACATCTTGTTTATCGGACACGTTGTTGATCCATCGGCGAAATGAAGAAAATTTTACAGCTTGCAATATGTTAACGATATTGCCGCAGTTTAAATTAGCTTAAATCACTTTAGGACGGGTAGTTTTTATGTTCCCTTAGTATTACAAACGTTACCTGTTCAGGTGACCTTTTCAGTAATATTAATTTTGATGCTATGGGGCGCAGTAATTTCGTACACTTTTGTAAAATCCCGCGTAGATCACACTGCCTCGTTTCCTCGTTTGCAGTACAGTGTAAACTGTGGCTGCAGTTCACAAGTACTGTTCCCCATCACACGATCCTTCATATTATTGCCTGAATACATGTACGTGTTCTTCGAAGTATGGATATTCCTACTTTAGCACTGGATGATACCTCGTATTACCTACAGTAGTGCAGTTATAGCACCAAACGCCTGTAGTACGAGTTAATGCACGCGTACTTTTTTTTTCACGCATGCTCGAACATTGTTTCCGTTGTTTAGTCTTAGTCAAATAAGTTGTCACAACTTATGCGCATGAACGCCGTTTGGGACGTCACGAGCAAAATAAAATTCCGAAATGTTTACCACTTGCCAAACGCGTAACGGCAAATGTCAGTGGCAATTTTTACCCCAGAACGAAGGTTTCGTCATTTTCTTTAAATTTTAATGTTAATTTAAAAATTTGAAATATACATACATGACGCGATCGTGCTGTGCTGTTGTTATACCTCAACAATCGAATCATTAAAAAAAGTAGAAATACCTAAAACAATAAATAACAAAAAAGATAAAGAAAGAAAAAAAAATAAAAACGAATAACAAGAAAAATTCCAGAATTATAAGAATAAATTTTTTTTTAATACAAGTAATTATATTAATTATTTTTTTTTCTTTGTAAAATAAATAAAAGTTTTACTTTTAGTTTTATTTTCCAATAAAACTAAGTTTATTAGGAGAGGTTTTTTTATTCATAAGCATCTCTGAATATTTTTTTTAGTTTCCGGTTTTAATACAGAGTACAGTATGGAGGTCTTAAGTTTGCTTTAATTTTTTAACAATTTTTTCTCTTCATATTGCTGGTGCCTCTTCTATTTTGGCATTTGTCACGGTTCACACAATCTGCATCGCTGGATACTGGGAACTAGTCGAGAGAATAATTGCTACACCTTCTCCTATTTCACGTTCCAGCAACACGACATGCCACAAAGTGGTGTTCCGTTAGGCAACGCGGGACGAAAAAATTTCTATCTACGGTGGCATTGGTGGGTAGAACCGTAGAACTGTAGAAGTTATCAACTGGCCGTTTCACCGACACTGCCATGGTACGTGGAGGCGGTTGTTCAGATTAGTTCGTGGAAGATATGCCTTAATTGTCTTCGGGAGATTTTTTATGACTCAGTAACTTACGGCATCGTTGCAATATGGAAACATCTGATTGTGAGAGACTACAGTGTGGCTGTTTTTATCCTGGTAAATCTGCTGTACTGCATCCTTTCTGCGTAGTACTTTGTCTACGCGCGAGAGCTCGTGCCCGTAATAAAAATTGTAGAGAATCAGCTACAGAATCAGCTACGCGCGATAGGTTTGTTGTTTTTTAACACTGATCGTCGGCAGTAACGAACCACAATCTGACATAAATGCAGCAGCAATACGGATAACAATTCTAAAATCTCAGTATGAGGTCAAAGAACGCGAAACGTGAATTCTTTGAAAGATGATTACCGTCTTACTACGGGCATTCTGTTCCTGAGCTTTTGTGGGTTGTTTAAGGAAAATGGCCCGGTACAAATCATCCAAAATGGCATACATAACTCTATTTAAACTTTTTGCCTATTTTAGCAAGCCATATCTCGGCAACCGGATGTTGCGTGCGGAAACGGTTCTCAGAACAATGTATACAAATCATTTAGCTTTAGAATGACATAAAATATTACGAAAAAAAGATTCGGAGTGCGCGAAAGCGAAAAATTTAGTGTATGTATCCCATTTCTGACACCAAGTACCGGGCCATTTCCCTTAATGCTGTAAAGCAGTAGTACCACCGCACTTTAAATACGTTCTGCAAGATACAGAGCCGGAAGTTCTGTAACATTTTGTTACCACCCCCTTACCGCTGATTGGACGCCTGAGTTAAAGTGTTCTGCATCTAAAAGGAACTCTCCTGGCTCCGTTATGATACAGAACTCGCATTTTTTACCACAAGTCAAAATAATAATTTGTTGTAAAGTTGCGAAGTTTTGATTTTCTAACTGTACGTTGAAACTTGAGTTTTGAGTTTACTTCTGAGTATACCATAGAGTTTTGAATTGATCTGCATACTCTACTTGAAAAGATAAGAATTTTTCGTGATTGAAAGAACCGGCGCGCGATATTAATTTTTAGTGTTGAAACCTGGAGCAAAATACATTTCCCACGATTTTTATTAACGGCATTACTAGCATTAGTCACCATGATTTCATTTTTTTTGGATGCGTCATACTTCTTAGTACCTTAAATCACGTACACTGGCGTGATTCAAATATTACATAACGCGATTTTTCTAGATTTTCGACCATCCCCACCCCTTGTAACGCCGCATAACAAAATTTTCAACCCCCCAGCTGCATACGTAACAAAGAGTCCGACCAACCCCTATAAAAATGTAATTAAAATACGAGTATATTAATTTTTTTAGCTTTTTATGGGGTGTCGGCCCGCACGTAACAAAAATTTTTGGACCCCCTACCCCATGTAACAATGAGTAACAATTTTGTTACACCACCCCCCACCCATAGCCGTTACGTAATACTCGAGCGCTGCCCACCAGCAAATAATTAAAATGTTGTGCTAACTTAAATGGTTGGATAACCTCTTGTACAAAGGACATTCCAAAAGTTTCTTTCCCTGTTTTGCCTGCGTGCCATTTCAAGTGCAATATGCAAACGATATATTTTTTATTACGTAGCATGTTCTCTGAGTTATCGAAGAAACAAAACTTTTAACTGTCGATGAAGAACTGCGCAGGTGAAAAAATTCTGGCAGCCTAACCACTGTCCTTCCAAAAATTCAGCGGTAATGTGATTCTTTAGTTATATCGACAACAGCCGGTAAACATAACAACATGCCTGCGCTGATTTACACTAATAAAAATGATCGAATTTAAACATTAAAAAAGCATCCAAAACGTTATAGCCACTCGTCGCCTTCGGACGTGCAGGCAGTGTACCAAAAACAGCTGCAGCATTTCCACGGATTACAGCTAAACTGAATCGTTGTCTTAAAAAGGCGGTAGATCGAGGTGAAGGCTCACTATGTCCTTGTTATTATCATGATCATGAATCGTTTCCAAACTCTCACAAATTAAAATAATAAATTTGTTTTTACACACATCCGTTTTTTTTTTGGTTTTCCGCTTTCCTGCTATTCCGAACTTCCAATTCTTTTCCACAATAAAGACTGTATCCTTGACCCACCCCAGCACATACTGGCGATGATTTAATTTATCGCTAGTCTATTTGCAACAAATTGTTTTCCGGATTTTTTATTGTTTTTGCCGTTTGAAAACTGGCAAGATTCGTGTTTTGACAACTGGTCACTAACACTTCCGATTTTCTTCTAAAAGCAGAAAGGGCCGAATCTTTTCGATCTTGATTTACACTGCAAGAGGGAAGACTTCTGAACAGAAAAACGTTTTGAGCTTCTTGAAGTTCGAACGGGGAGAACGTCAAAAATGTTACAATGTTGCGAGAAACCCAGAAAATAGGCTGTCAGACACCGCTGAAAGTCTTTTTGGCGAATTTTGCCCATCCTCTTTGAACAGGGCCTAGTTTAAATTTTTTAATAATTAGTTAGTAAGTGGCATTGGTAAAAAGATGGGTAGGGCTAACTGAGTTTGTGGGGGAAGATAAAAAATAGGGAAAGAAGCTTTTTGAATCGCCTTTGTATGTACTTTTTTGTTATTTTGCTGTGGTAATAATTAAATTCCAGCGTGGATCTGGGACATTGCATAATAATTTTGACATAAATTATCAGCGTTCATTAATATCCGAATTAAGAAAAAAAACAGCGGTCAAAACTTCTGAAATGTTCCTCATATTGCGCTGTTTTTGATGCTACAAGGAAACCATTCGTGAAGGGGTGACACTTATTGCAACAGATATTTATTAGAAATTTTACTTTCGCTCGTAGCATTAAAAACAGCGAAAGTAAAAAGTGTAAACTTTGTTAATTTCGTAACTTAACAAATTAACAAAGTAAATTAACAAAGTACAAAATTCGTAAATTAACAAAGTTAACAATTTTTACTTTCGTAACTGCTACAGCGCCTCTTAGTCCGCCTGACTGCAGCTTGTGTTCAGCAGCCGACGAAATCGCATAACTTAATCGAATTTCGGCACTCTCTGTCAACCTATTAACAAGGAAGCGAAGTAATAATGGTTTCCCGGTAAAACTTCTACTTGCGGCAGTATCGTGATCGTTACCACTACCAATACCAGTACCATGACATGGTACCACAACCAGTACCACTACCAGTAACAGAACCATTCTCGCTACCACTATACAGTAACAGTTATGGGAGAGTTTAACCCGTTTAGGGTAACTAAGACATAGTTTCCCTGTACCGACCGTAATAGTCGAAACACAAGAAGTCGTTGCGCCCTCAAGAGACACCAATGGAACCAATGGAACCAATGGAACTCTATTGGAACCCGTTGGAACTGTTGGAACTACTATCTGTACATGTCTTATTGCGCCCTTGTGTGGTACCAATGGAACCAATGGAACTCTATTGGAACCCGTTGTAACTGTTGGAACTACTATCTGTACATGTCTTATTGCGCCCTTGTGTGGTACCAATGGAACCAATGGAACTCTATTGGAACCCGTTGGAACTGTTGGAACTACTATCTGTACATGTCGTAGTGCGCCCTTGTGTGGTACCAATGGAACCAATGGAACTCTATTGGAACTCTATTGGAACCCCTTGGAACTGTTGGAACTACTATCTGTACATGTCTTATTGCGCCCTTGTGTGGTACCAATGGAACCTATGGAACTCTACTGGAACCCGTTGGAACTGTTGGAACTGCTATCTGTACATGTCTTATTGCGCCCTTGTGTGGTACCAATGGAACCTATGGAACCCTACTGGAACCCGTTGGAACTGTTCAAACTACTACCTGTACATGTCTTAGTGCGCCCTTGTGTGGTACCAATGAAACCTATGGAACTCTACTGGAACCCGTTGGAACTGTTGGAACTGCTATCTGTACATGTCTTATTGCGCCCTTGTGTGGTACCAATGGAACCTATGGAACTCTACTGGAACCCGTTGGAACTGTTCAAACTACTACCTGTACATGTCTTATTGCGCCCTTGTGTGGTACCAATGGAACCTATGGAACTCTACTGGAACCCTCTGGAGCCATTGGAACATCGTCTCGTCGTCGTCATCGTCTGTACACCGTC